TTTTGCGGTGTGTTTACTGGCCCTACATGCTGCAGGAACAGCAGCAGGCCCATCGATGCGTGTAGCCTGTGCTTTGATGTGAGCATGGGCTCCATGCGTTCCACCATATCGTCCTGTATGTCCTGGCACCCGGCTACTGCCCCCTGTCAAATGCAGCCTTTTGTGTACATTTCGCTGGCTTTGCTGCCATCCCGCTCTCATTTCCATTTATTGTTTGTTTTTGTATTTTGTTTTCTATTTCGCTTTTTGTTTTTGCCCCACACACGCGGGTCCTAGGCCAATTCGGATTGGTTTGAGCCACGCTTAAAATTCCAGACACTCCTCAGAGTTGTTTTGAAATTGAAACTTGATTATGTTCTCACAGACAGATCTCTTGCCCCTCCGGCATTATCTTTGTATCCATAGTTTGGGCTGCTACGTCCGTTTTATTTCGTCTTGTTTTATCGCGCTCCGCTGCATTGTAAATATTTTGCTTAGTCGCGCTTTGACACCAGCTGACACGCGAATGCCGCGGCAAAATATAAATAAGTCGCCGCTGCCGCTCTGATAAACTAAGCTCCTAGTGTACATAAACATATATATACGCGCCCTCTTTAAAGTCAATTTCAGAATGCGGGACTCGGACTTGGCTGAAATGTGGAGCGGTGGCTTTTATGGCACACTGATGTCGGTCATTTTTGGACTTTGCTCAGCGCACATTTAAGCTTCAGTCTAATTTGGCTGTGTGCTTTCTGAATACCGAATTTTGGTTATCTAGTATAAGTCTTTTGTCTGGTAAAATTTGAACCCTCTTTTCTTTTGTATTAATATGGTAATATGACAAACTCGTTAATCCAAAAAAAGAAAATGTATAAAAATAGTATCTAATAAATAAGCATAGCTTACTTTTTAAACAAGTAGATAAATTCCATAGAAGTATAAATTCCGACTAACACAAAATAGCACAAGCTAACTTTTTGAGAATTCAAATTTTCTGCTGAAAAAATATTTCTTCTCGATATTCGCTGGAATTTAATATTGTTTTTTCTCCACTTATAGTCGGTTGGAATACAAATTCGCATTCTAGTGTCAGCCAAGTTTGCTTTGGTATTGCCACATATATTAGCAGTTTTCCTATTTGAGTTTTCGCTGGCCTTTCTTGTATCGGCTGTGCTGCATTTTTAAGATCCAGATCGGGGACTTGGACTTTGGCGAAAACGTTTGTGCAGGAAATGTGTTTTTAATGAAGCCTTTCACCAGTGAGTCGGCCTGCCTAATAAAGAGTGAATGGCGGTGACCCCAACCCACTGGATTCACCTTTCCAACTGACGAGTCGTCGTCAGGTCGTCAAGCGGTCGTCAGAGTTCTTAGCTCTGCTTTTGTTCGCTTTTTCCTCGCTTTTCCTCCGATTTTCCCTTTTCGGGGCTTTTATGGGTTTTTGCCGTTTGCTGCCGTTTGCTTTTCCCTTTTCAATAAATCGCAAATGGCAATGTGTCCCCTTCGCGGAGCAGGGACTCGAAAATAAGAAGGCGAATCCTTGACGGGCCAAGTTTATGCAAAGTAGCTTTTAATATGTTTACGACTAAACATTTTTTGGCTGCTGCCGGTTTCGCATCAGGTTAATGTCTACTCTTCGTCTCGCTTCACCCGTCACTCCATGACCCGCCCTCCCCCGTCCATCCCCCTTTATTGCACAATTTTTTAATAATTTCTGCCCTTTTAAAGGCAGAATTATTAAACTTTACTGCTGCGGCCGCACATTTGCCTGGCTGGCGCAGCCATTTGATTGTAATTTATTTCGCCGTAGCCGACTCAAAGTTGAAGTGGCTCCCACATTAAAATGGAGCGCTGGCGAAAATTAAATGTTAATGGAGTCGGATGTGGCAGAGCAAATATATATCTTGTACATTTGGTAGGTACGCAATCTACCCCGCAAACGTTGACAGTTCCATTTCCATTTGCAAAACTTCCACAAATGTTGTTGTTTTTTGAAATTAATTAACATTTAAGCTGCTTAAAAGTTTCTGGGTCAGTGCCGAATTTAATATTAAACAATTCTAAGGCTGGATGGCGCAAGTCTTAGGCTAAGTAGGCGTCGTGGAAGTTGGAAGTGTTCGGGATTCTTCGAAGCGACCAACGCGGCGTATGCGTAATTCGCCGCTGGTCAAACACATGGCTGGCAATTGTTTAATTTATGCCGCAGCACGTTGGGCGCTGAGCTCATTTGATGGCTGCAGGGGATTAATGCAGCTCACCGACTGACTCATAAAACTCGGCTCATTGCCGCAGCCGACGCCCAAATGTTGGCAATAAAAAATTTTAAACCCTAAATTATGCACAGTGAGAGGAGCCGGGCCCAAGGGCCTGTGCATTAGACTTGCGACCCAAAAGCCAGCCAAAGTTTCAAACATTGTTCGCATAATATAGGAAAAGTTGCACATAAAGGGAGTCGAAGTGGGGATGGGTATAAAAATGGAGCTGGAGAGCGGAACGTGCCACTTTGCCACTTGATGATGAATGAAACACCTCGGGCATGTGTGTGCCTCGTTGACTGTGGTTTATATTTGGGTTACAGCATGGGTTAAGGTCCCGCCTGCTCCTTGCTTTTTATGGGGCTCACTACTTTGAGCCACGGCTTCAGTGGGAACGTTAATCTTATTTGCCATGGAAAGACCAACTACAGAGAAAAAAATAAACCAGAGCTTGTCTTCAATTCAGGCAATATTTTGTTTTGTTTATTTGAAAAATAAAATGATAAGTTAAAACTTCTCGATAAGTAGTTTTTCTATTGGTAAATATCTTTTAATCTGTAATAGTTTTGTGACTTATTAAGTTCTGTCTATTAATACATTTTTATTTTGCAAATATGTTTACTAGTCTTATTCATATAATTTCTGATTAAATATATGAACATAAAAATGTGACAATCAGCTATCGCCAAAGCTAAGTTGACAATAAAAAATCAATAATTTTGTTCAGTGTTTGTTGCGTGTGCGTAAATAAAAGTAACAAATGTCGCCCAAAAAAACTTAGCGCCAAAGGCGCATATTTTGTCTACTAAAAGCATGCCGGGGATTTGCACAACTCACAGTAAAATCGAGCCAAGGAGCCGAGTTTCGCATCTCGTGTGTGTGCGTGTGTGGGCGTGTGTGTGTGTTGGCCAACTTCTGGTGCGTGAATTGAATGCAAAACTCGAAAGTTAAATATTGCACGCTCCGTGGGCAGGCAGCTTTACTTATTTTTTTTGTCAGTCTCTTAAATTTAATTAAAGAGACAGCCAGAGCAAATGCGATTACATCACAGAAAACTTTCAACTTTGCGCCAAAGGAACGGGGCCGAGAACGGGAACTGCCAAAAGTGATTTGCACAGTTTGAAGGATTAGCAGGGAGCAGCTTAGGCACCACATCCTTGTGCCCCAGCCCCGCCCGACAATCTGGATCTTGGCCTGCAGCTGTCACTGGCTCACATAAATCTAAACATTCTGATGTTCTACACGCTGGCTGGCATGTCAAGAGCCGCCCGCAGCCTGGGACTCAGACTCAGGTGAGTGACTACCTGTCCAATCCCTCCTCAGACCGACCCTCCTGTCCCCAAAATCCTGGCCCATAGAAGGATATAGCCGGATAGGGATGGATGTTGGCAGCTCTGAAACAACATATCTTTGCATACTTGATGGCGCATAATGGTGCAAAAAATTGTTTACATGCATAGAGCAACACAAAATGTTTTGCATTTACATAATTTTTGACTTTTCAAGTCGCAGCGCATTTTTCGTAATTTCTTCATGTTGGCTTGTGCAATTCCGTGAACCGAGAAAATAATGGAAACATTTCGCGGAATGAGTTATGCCGCCGCGACTGCCAATCAAATATGCATGGGAATTATTCTGCTCACAGCCGAACAAAATTAGCACTATATAATAAAGGCCATTGGAATCGTTAAACTCAGCAAAGCCATTTCTAACCGATCAAATTAGCTAAAATTATTTTGCCAAACCATAAAATTATTATATTTTTAATTTGTCTATTCATTACTATTCATTACATTATGTTTATGTTGAACAAGTTGGATTCACAAAATTTAATTTCTAGCTTTTATTTTCCAAAAGTTCATTAAAATAAGCTTATACATATATTACTAATTAATTCACCTGTTTTGTGAAACTCAGCACAGCTAGTATTTTGCTTATTATATTTTAAAGTTAGCTTTTTAAATTGTATTTATTATAAAGTTTTCAGAACAACTCTACAAATTTACAACTTTTGAATTAGTAAGGTAATCACAAAGACTTTGCAAATATGAACTTGTTTTCTTTGTAGTTATATTTTTAATATAAAACTCACAAAGTCAGTATTTAATTACAAATTAATTAGTCTACCTAAAACTTTGGGGAAACTCGTGCTCAAATTTTCAGGTACTAATTAAAATAACCACAAACTATTTGATTAATACTTACTCACTGTTTGAAACAAACTAGCTTAGATATTTTCCAGGAAAATAAACACTAACATTCAAAAAACTAGATACCAAGAATTGCGTCAACTAGTTTCATTTTAAATTTATAGTTAATATTTGGATTATCACCATTATTTGCACAAAAAAAAGACATATACTTTCGACCATATAGGTTTATCTATTTAATAAACCTATAATTTACATGCTCATAAAACTGATAATTGTTTAATGCTCACCACTTTTTTACCAAAGATTACCTCTATATATTTATTTCATAATATTATATATTTGTATAAATCTCACTTTAAATATAATTTAGCTTGTCAAAAAAATCACATTTATTTTGAAATCTGTGTTTAAGATTTCCTTTTAATTATCAATTTTCTTGCATAAAAAGTTGTTTTTTAATAAATAAAATTAAATTATTTCTCCTTGATATACTGTAAAAACGACTGCTCTTTCTTTTATTATTCCCTATGCGTATGTTTTATTTCACTTTCTTTACTTTATTTTTGCCACTTCTATGAATTTGTTTCTTATGTGATATTAAGTTCAGCATACTTACGTATTTATTTTGTTGCTCCTTTTTATGCGCTCTTTTCAATTTCCCACCATGGTATATTTTGTCAAAAATTCGCTGGCTTTTGCTGGCACTGCCATTAATTGAAAATGCCGCCAAAACTTTGTTTGCACCAAGCTCATGCTTCACACGCGCGCTGATAAGAGCGTTTAAAGTTGGCCAACACGCACACACCCGCAGCCGCGCACACACACGAACGCCACACACGGACTGTGACTGTGACTGGGCTCACCCACACAGAGGCGGCAGTGGCTAACAAACGCGAGTCAGTCGCTTGGCAATGGGGCTAATGCCATTGGCAGGATGCGAGAGTACGTCCAGTTGCGCGCTGTGCCATCGACAAACTGATGATAAACGAAAACTGTTTATCAGCAGCAAGCGTTCGCTGCCGCAGCCGCCGTCGGCAGAGGCAGCGGCAGCGGCAGCGGCGGTAGCGGCGGCAGCGAATACGTCATAGCCAGGGCAGCGGCAGCGGCCGAAGGTTGGTTCGTTGGTTCCTGGCCAACACGAAGCCCCGTTAGGCCGCTCTCTTAGCCCCGTGGAGAGTTCCGCTCTGCCGAAGAGCGCGCCGTTCGCAACTCTCCCGCTCTCTTAGCCGCCTTATCAGTTGTTGGGATAGGCTCGGCGGCCAACTGATAGGCGCTGTTGGCCAGGTATCCTTGACGGCTTCACTCGGTTTTGCCATTTAAAGTTTAGGTAAGTGAAAAAATGTTAAGAGGCAACACATTTTTGGGAATTATCGATTTGTTTTCCTTTATAATTTATATGATAAAATAATCGTCGGTTATATATATGTCCTGTTATAAATAAATTCAGTCACTCAATAAATAAAACCTTCCATTAGCAAGTCATAAACTATAATATTATTTGTTCCCAATATTCAATGTTGTACTACTTGTTTAAAATATAATAATAATATTCAATTAAAAACTGTCAATAGCAGCAACACAATATAATCATAGTTTTATTTTTTCGAGACTTTTATGAGTTTTATTTAGAGCTAAACAAAATAAAAATCGTCAATAATCCTTATTTTATAGATGTACTTTATTTGTTATTAAGATAATGACATTTTTTGATAAAAACTTTCTCTATTTTTGGAAAATATTGTAAAGATTCAAAATTTAAAAATAATGGAGGATATGGATAGACCATAAGTTTTTACTTTGGTGATTTTCCTTTTATTGCTTGTCAATTTCAAGGGATTGATTATTTGATTTAAATAACATTATAATCGCCTTATTTTCTGACTGTGTCTTATATATATACTATAGTACTATAGTACTATTATTAAACAGACACACGCAGCAAATATAATTGTACAAACTAAAACCAAATGCTGGCATAAATAATGTGTATTGAAAAGATACAAAAAGAGACCCCGAATAAATAAACTTTAATTGTCTATTTGTCTAAAAGAAATCCCCGCTGGACAGTGAGTTTTGAATACCCACTGTCTAATTGAGTTGAACGCCAGTCACAGACGCTGGCACTGTATTTCGCTTCCGTTTTTAGTTCCTCCGCTCTTCAGATTTTCCTCCGATTCCCTGTGAACTAATGGGCAATAACTTATTCATAATTATGCATTTCCCATTTTTCGCTTTTATCTTTCGTTTCGTTTATTTGGCATTTCCTTGCTCTTACCGCCGTTTCCCCATAATGCTTGCCAAAATATTCAACTCGAAGAAGAAAAATAGTTTATATTTTTCGAGAGCGTGCGTCCAGTCCGCCGACGATGATTAATCAATTATGGGCAACTGTCAGAATCGCAAACAGAAATTGCGAAAAAAAATGTAATCAAAATTTCAGCGCCGGCAGATCCAATAACAAAACGATGGTCAAAGCAAATAATGAATTTATTTGCCGCTTTTCATCTGTTCAATATCAAACGTCCGCCTGCCTTTGCTCAACCGATTTCACGCCGGCTCATTGGCCATTAAAAAGGCTTTGACATGAATGAAGGGAGACAGCATGCTGGCAGGGGGAAAGAGATGTGAGATGATGGAGGCTGACCATTTAAAATATGCATAATCACCTGCCTCGCATCTGCCACGGGCAAAGAGCAGGTTGCAAAATGTAATTTGTTGTAATTTGCTGCACTGACAGTGACGATGTCAAGCAATAATAGTTTGGAAAAGCTCTGCGGAAAATATGCTTGGCACAATGAAGAGAAAAACGGTGGGAGCGGAGATGCTGACCATCTTTATGAAAGGCAAATTAAAATGCACTTAGCGCCGCACCTTAAAACACGGCTGAAAAAAGGCTGAAAGTTGGCAGTCTGCCTGCGGTCATTCTTAGTCTGCGTTGAATATGAAAAAAAGGACAGGAGTGGGTTACAAGTGGCAGCTTAAGCGTTGTCCTGGCAACAACATGACGTATTTTCTCATTGAGTTTAGCAACATTCGAGGAGAACCAAACTGATTTTGTACCCCAGCAGGAAACCCCGAAGGGCCGTGGTGACAATCTGTTAAACTCTCCCAAGGAATGAACACCTGTGAAAGCTCATTAAGTCCCAGTTAAATGAGAAATCAGAGTGCAAGACCACTTTGAACCTTAAATTCTCATTGTGTGAATATTAATAATAATCATTTCTAATAAACAATAAAGATTCTGCTTATCTCCAGCTTGAGGACAACTTTACTTTATTCGCATTTAAATGTTTTGCCATTGTCTCCGGCACTCAAATTGGGTTATGGATGGAGGGAAAAGTAAGCCAGTCAATGGCATTATTGTCTCCAGCGCAGCTTCTGGGTACAGTAAACAATGCTTAGGAGTTGGCCACCCTACATTGATGATCCTTGTTTATGCATGCAAATCGTGAGAGTTTTCCCGGATTCAGATTGTCGAGCATAACCATTTACCATGAATCGTTCAATATGCATTCAGTGGTATAACAGCTTGTGTATCTCGTAGGCATTACCCACTGTGCTCCGTAATTGCCTTGGAAAATTGAATTTCCACGGAGACAACGTCGGCCTGACAACACTGTGGTCATCCAGCAGTCCTGCTGCCGCAGTCCTTGCCTTCTGTCCTGGCATTAGGATTAATCAGTAGACTTGACATTTAATTGTTGCTCTCACTGGGAGCCTTCGAAAAGGGGCAATGGGGGTCAGTTGAGAGCCCAACCGGGTAGTTCATCATTTGCCGGTTCCATGGGCGGATCCAGAATCATTTTAGGGATGAGGCTGCAATCTAGAAATGGTTTAGGACACTACATCCATTTTGCTTTACCAAGGAAAAAGGCACTTAAAGCTTTATACCCAGGCACCATAACCATCTCAACCAATTCATTTTCGGTTTAAACACTATAATTTCATGCTTCTTAATTAAATAATTATAAATTACATTAAACACTTTTTGATGCCAAAAGTTTGGTATTTATTGGTCTACGAATGACGCTTACAGCCAGTATTACTTTTGTCTTAACTTACTATTAAAATAAATACTATTCAAGAAATATAACACAAATAATTGGCATAAATAACGAGTTAGCTTCCTTTTTTTTAATACCAAAAATTTATTTACTGTTGAGTAGCCATTTTCTTAAATTCAGACCAGTTCGTACTTGTTTTCTGTTTGTAAATATATATACAGAGTAAAGACCAATGCTTAATAAGATTTGTGTCTATTCATTCAATTTGTTGCAAACCACTGTAAACCAAAATCATAAAATGTTTTTTTATTACGAAAAAATTTTTTTTTATTTATATCTATTGAAAGCATTGATGTTTTTGGCGGCTCAGCTTCTGGCCAAATATTTAAATAAATTTATCAATAAAGCAAATATTACTAAGAAAAGGCATAGCCTTAGGACGTTTTGCTCAAATAATTTGAAACCATAGTTAAAATAAATTTGTGGTTTAAGTTTTTGTAGTAGTGTCGGAGTAAATTTTGAATGTGTCACATGTATTATTTGAATGCAAATAAATGGTGTCATAATGTAAAACTATCAATTAAAAAAAATTAAATAAATATATACAAAATATAAATTTTGATCTACAATTTTCTTTTCAGTGTCCATGTGTGCTTTTGGGAGGCGGTTGGCTGGTGGGCTGGGTATTTGGCATAGACCTTTAAATGCATTCTGTGTGCGCATGTTAATTGCATGGGATTGGGGCAACGACAGACAGCCCGCAGCAACGTCTTTCAATTTGTCTTTTACAATGTGATTTATATGCTAACAGGGAGTGGCCAATTTGTTGTAGTGGCAGTTCGAGTTGTTGCCTCAAGTTGAAGGCATTTTTTGTGTGTGTTGCTGGTCGTTTGGTTTTGTTTTTTGTGTGCAATGGCAGTAGTGTTTGTTCGACTGCTGCGTGTGCATGCAAATGACTTGTCAGCTGACAACGGCAACAAGCAAAATTGCTGACCATGTAGCAGAGTGTATGTGCGGGCGGGTGTGTGGATGCGGATGTGGATGTGTCTCTAAGGGAATTGTGTATCTTGCCAAACCAAAAATTTGCACATAAAGTATCCCTGACAGCAAAGTTTTCACTTGCAAAACTTGCACGCAGCGAGGATGCTCTCCCATTCTCTGTTCTTGCGGTTTTACTTGCAAGTGCGTTGAAATAAATTTGGCTTAGGAAGCGAGCAAACACAATGGCAACAACACGACTCAATTACACACGCAGCAGCACAGACACTTTAAAGGACCCTTCAGCCCCCTTTAGCCCCCTTCAGCCCCCCTCAACCATAATTTCACACTACGCCTCGCCGACTCTGTTGTTGACAATTTAAATAGACTTCTCTTGCACCAAAGCCGCTTTGATGTATGCTCTCTTGTTCGCGGCGTTGTTTATTTGTTTATTGATTTTCACCATTTCGCAGGGCCTGCATCGCTCAGCGTTTTATCGACACTCCTGCCAAGCGAAATAATCAACATTTTTTTCTGCCATTTTCCCCGTCACTTGGCTTTGTCTCTCTGGCCATGTGTATTTTGTGGTGTTCGTGCGGTCGGTGTGCAATTGAAGGTGACACTGAAATTTGCATAATTCTGTTGTCACATGTCGCATACGCCATGTATGATAGTCGCAAAGGGCAATCAAGGAAAATAAAATTGTCGCTTTTGCTGGGAAATCTTGAAAATTCAACGTCTGCTTTAAAATATTGAAAATGATGATGAAATGAGCTTTTATTATTCATAAAATTGCATTGCATGGTAGCAAGACCAATTAGGCTTAAACAAAAGTTTCCTATATTTTATAAATAAATATCTATCTTAGAAATAGTTATGTTTTGACCACTAGGGAAATGAGAAAAATAAAAAATGTCGCTTATTTCAATATTATTACCTTTTAACAACAAGAATGCTTTTATAAATAAGAATATTCTCAAAATTATTTCAACATTTTACTATTATTATAAAAGAACTAAACAAAGAAAAGCATTGACCGCTTTTATTTTTTTTTAAATGGTCTAATTAAAAAATAATTAATAGCATTTACTGGATTTAATAAATTGCTTTTATTTATTGAGACACTAATTGTTAGCACAAAATTAAACTAAAACAATCAGAGTTGATACAAATTTTAATGTTTTTTTTTTAACATCAAATGCTTTTTTTTATCTTATTAAACTTTTGTCATTAAATTTTCGATTATATTGTAATTGGCGTTTCATTTATCAGCAACTGTAAGCTTTAAATTAAACTAAACTAATTTCATATTTTATCAGCTGCATCCATAATTGAACATTTAACAAAACGATTTTATTGAAAAACCAAACGCTAAATTTATAGCCATCTAAATTACAGTAATACAAGCACTTTTTGTGCGCCAAGCTAATTATAGGAAGCGCTATTCTATTTAAATTTATATTGGCAGAATAACTTTAGGAGCATATAAAAATGATTTTGCAATTTATATTCCCGAGTTTATTTGCTGGCTTTATGCGGAAAATTTCCCTTTCGCTTGGCTAGTCTCAGATACTTGAGCCATGACTTTAACGACAATTTAAAGCCAAACTTCCCCGCACTATCCCTTTTATTTGACTTTTGCTGACTCAACAGTTCAATTGAATTTTATGTTGTTGCTTGTCGCCTTTTGACTATGAAATCTAGATTACAACTTTTGGCAACAACTTGTGGCGAACGTAATTACAAGCTGCCAAATGGCAACCATAACATTAACAACAAAAACAAAAACACCGACAGACTGGCTGACTGACTGAAAGAGTGACTGACAGACGAGTGGCAATGTCCTGGCAACGCTCGTCTTTGTCGTCCTCATAATGAAGCCATAAATTTCAAAAGCAAAGAGATTAGCGAAAGTGGTCGTCGTCTGCCTTCCTCGAATTCCTTTCAAGTGTGTATTTATTTATATTGCCCGAAGTTTAAACACATTATTCAAATGTCAACTTAAAGCTGAAGTGGAGCGTGTGACGAAACTATGGCAAAAGTTAATGCACTTTCAATGCTGACAGGACCTTGGAGCTGAGTGGAATGGCTGATGCAAGCATTTATTATTTACACTTGTAAATAAATATATATGTGCGAGTGTTTATGTTGGAGGGGCCTGGTCACTTAGCAGCGGGAATTGCACATACATTCGCATTTCCACTCCAGTTAACACCCCAGGGACATTGCCAGTGCCACTGAGTACACAGAGAAAGAAACCCATGAATAATTATTATGACTTTCGGTTCGTTTATTTCATTTTTACGAAATTATTTTTTATATTCGGCTGCAGTTTTGCAAGTTTTATAGCGGCAGGAATTCAAGTATGAAGCGTTTAATCTTAAAATTCCATGCGAAAGTGGTTCAAACCAAAAAAAGGTAAGTTCTTAAATCAGACATTTTAATATCTTTTAATAATTTATGGCTTTAATGTGAAAGTATTCTCTTTAAGGTAGAAGTTCTAGAAGAATAGCTATTTTTATATAGCCCAAATAACGCATTAATTTGTAATCGTATTAATTTGCTAAAAACTTTGGAAAAAAATATTCGAAAGAAAACCCAAACATTTGCTTTTGGCCATGATGCTTAAAATTTCGTTTACTTAATTTTATGGTTTCAAAATGTTCAAAACTTTAAAAAGTAGATTAGGTCCATTTTTAAAAATGGCAACATGGTGAAACATTTTTGTTCACTATATGCTATATTTTTTGTTGTTATTTGTAACCAAACAAACACAATTTTATATACAATATTTGGTATGAAAATTATTATTGTATTTCGAAATTAATTACTTTGTTGAAAATGTATTATTGATGTCTTAGTATATTTTTCTGAATGTAACTTCAAGTCGAAGGAGCTACGCAATTTTACGAATGCTGCGTTGCACTTTTCCGCTTCGCACATGTAGATGTACTGGCACTCTAGTGCAGTTTATATAGATTATATACATGGATTTGTGAAGCAAATTTGTATTTATGTTGATGGCCAGGCACCCATGACACTCGCCTTCGGAGCTGGGCTGTCATCCCGGTCTTCTGACTCCTGATTCTTGATTCCTGACTCCCAGCACATTATGTGCCCCATTTACTGACTATGTGCGGCTCACACAACACACACACAGGACTCACGGCACACTCGCACATACTCACGCACACACTTACACGGCCAGTGAACGTCAAGTGGCAATTTACATTAGTTTTATTGTATACGAAATTAGCAGCATTTAGCATTTAGCAGTAGCAGCAGCCGGCAAAACTTTTGCCTTTCGGCTCCATTCACTTCGTCCCATTCACATCCTTATCCCCATCCTCATCCCCATCCTCATCCTCGTCCGAAGTCAAGGGTTTGTATGTTAGATTTGTTTGCTCGTATGGCTGCACTGTCGCACTCGGCATATCAATTTCCCCGCCCGGCCACCTCCCTCCCCCCTCAGGACATTTCAAGGTAGGAAATCGATTTTGTTAATGAAAACAAACTTCAAGGGAAAAGCAACCCAGGGGAGTGAGTGTCGATTGGAGCGAAAGTTTGATATTTGTTGGGGGGCAACAATGGCCAATCTGCGTGATAATGGCATTCCCAAAGGATTATTATGCACTCTCGCAGCTTCCCTTTTTCAATCAAGGTTATCTTTTGATTTTCCTGAAACTATGCAACTAGAGTCGGTAAAACTGCATCTGTGAATAACAAGTTTGCTTTATTTATTACAAAGTGTTTCCAAAAAGCAATCTTTTACATCGGGTGCCTACATATACTTTAATTTTCAGACAGATTTTGGGAAGAAAATTAATTATTTTACATGCATTCGATATTCTTGGAAAATAAATAATTAAATCATGCAATTGGGGTTCGGGAGAAATAAATGGAATTAATAGTAATGGACATATATATTGCAATCAAAGCCTTTCAAAAATTTACATTTATTTTCTGTATACATTTATTTAAGGTACCTTCTTACATTTTAAGTGAATCATACGACTTACCTCACATACCAATGTAATTTGCTTAAGATTGTATTTAGCACCGTATTTAGTTTTTATTGTACTTGTGTTTTTCAACTAGGTCGGCCTTAAAACCTTTAAAACCGCAACATTAATACATGTAAACAATTTAAGGCCGACTTATCTGCCAAAGCAAAGGGAAAACAAATGGGAGAAAAACGAAGAAACCTAAAATTTTTTTTTATCCAAGTACCTCATGTCCTTTGGGTTATCCCACTTAGATCTAAGCCAGATGACACTCGTTGACCAGGACCACATCATCTTCGACCATTTCCCCATTTCGATTGGCATGGTGCTCATGGTGGATGGGACAGCTGACGATAAGCTCCTCCTTGGGAGCGAAAAGATCCTTATCCTTCTTGACCTTCTTGGCCAGTCCGTTGTCCTTGCCGCTCTTCAGTTTGTCCTTTTCCTGCTCCAGCTCCAGGTGATCCCCCAAAAGGTGCTCGAAGACATCGGGATTGTTGCGCCAAGCCAGATCCATGGCGCCATCAAGAAATTGATAGAGGGGCGAGCTTAAGCGATGTTGTGGCTCCTTTGGCGGCTCCACCAGAACATTTCCCTCAAATGTGGGCTGCTGCAGCAGCTGTTGCAGCATGTAGAGCATCGGTGGCAAAGCCGGCGAGGATTTGTGCTTGTGGTGGTGCTTCAGTGGCGCTGAATTATGGACAGTGCGTTGCCCGTTCTCGGCTGCATTCAGCAGCAGCACCCCGGCCAATTCCGGTGGCAGCAATTCGGGGCCGTAGTTGAGCTCCTGCTGCACACTCTCAATCACCATGTTGGGTGCCAGCAGCTCGAACTCCTTCACCTCGTGCTTGCCATCCGGCGAGACCAGCTTGTTGTAGTACACATAGGGGTTGGGTGGCATCGGTGCCATCGGTGGCAGTGGGGTGGTCACCACCGCCTCCCCCGGTTGGCGACGCTTGTGGTGCAACTGTCGCGGCTGCAGGCCCTCCTCCATCAGGCCACCCAAACGCCGCTTGGGACGGCGCAGCCCCATCAGTTCCTCCACCAGCTGGATTTTGCCGGCATCCGAAGGCGAGGTAGTGGATGTAGTTGTGGATGCCAGAGCAGCGAGTACTGAAGAGGTGGTGGCATTCGTGGTTTTTCCTTGCTTCGGTACAGCTGTAATCTCCAGCTTCGAAGATGTGGTTGAAGCGATGCCAGGACTGGTAACGGAGCCATTGGTTGAAGCAAACACCACGGTGGCCTTTCCGCTCAGCGGAGCAGCGGTGCCAGCTTTGGTGGTGCCATTGTAATCAGTTGCAGTGTCGTCCTGAGAGCGCTTCATCCGCAGGCAGTGGCTCAACCCCAGTTGCATCATCATCATCATCATGGCACCTAAAACATGCACACAAATTAGGCCATATTTAGTTAATTTTATGGTATTAAAACCAAAATAATTGCATTAAATAAAAAGTATTCCGCTAATCAAAATACTACCAAACAAATTTCGCTACTTACACCCAAGGATCAGCAAAAAGTTCATTCTGTAGTGCTTGATTGACTGCGCTGCGAAAGACAGGCGAGTTGAAAAGGTTATCCGAAAATTGACCACAATTATTTTGGATTGAATATTTTTTTCCACTATTTTCCCACAGAAAATAGTTACAATTTAAACTTACTTTATTTGATTGGAGTGGGTTCTACGTGTGCTCGACACAAAGTTTGTACTGAAAATGATTCGGAATGCTTCCTGCCTCATGGCGAGGCTTTGACAGACAGCTGGGGTGCTGGTAAAAGGTTACTGAGAGCTAAAAAAAAAATCGAATTTCAATATTTTTGTGATGGGATTTTCCATACGCCGCCCCCACATACACACCCTCCCATCTGTAGCGACCTTTTCAAGTGCTGCAAATGGCAGCAACAAAAAAAACCGCGCACACACAAAAAGTTTGTTTCGTGAGCCGCAAACAAAAGCAAACAGTGAAAAAAGTTTAGCTTATAAATTTCCAATCAATTTTTCGTGCAAAAATCAAGCGCCCTCACACAAATACACACACACACACCCACAGCCGCACACTCAAGTGTTCGTATAGTCAGTGCAAGTGTGTGAGTAGCTATTACTTGATTAATAAATATTAGCAGCAAAAATTGGAAAATTCTCAGCGAAGCGTAAAAATGCAAACACCTAAACGGAAATGCGATACATTTGCGAAATGGCAGAAGCATTTTTCCAAAACACTCATGCTCTTCCACGCACATACTCACTCAGGAATACACATTTTCTCGGTCTAATTTGTATACCCTGGTTGCATAGAATGCACGAGGATACTGTGTTGCAGACCAAATTGCAACAGGCACCAGATAGTTTTCCATATATGGTAATCTCCATAAAAAATCTGTTCAATATGATAAGAGTAATTCTCAATATATAATGGGGGTGCTACACAAATTATTAGGGTTCGAAAATAAGTTAAAAATATGTTTAAGATATATTGTTGCATTAATTTAAATAATTGATTTCAAAACTATAGTTATCTTTTTTAGATCACCCGCAGTATTCGTTTTCGGTATGTAATAATTAACACTTCTTCAAAATTTAAAAATTGAGTATTTTGTAACTCCCAGAAAAGTAAGTAACTATAAATACTTCCTTAATCATATTTTTTAGTGAGTAATTTGTATTACATTTCATGCACTAACTTTTTTTTTAATTTTAAAGGGGTATTAAACTTTCTTATCGCAAATCCTTAGACTAAAACTTGTACTTTCTCTTGCCGCCTTCAACTTGAGGCATTAATAATGTAAAGTGCGTGCGTGAAATGTAAATTCCCGGCTGCCAGCTCACGCGATTTCATAAACTTGCGACATTTTCACTAAACAATTCTTTTCGCCGACTTCATGTCTTCGATATGTGCGCCCTTCAAGGCGACTTAACGCTCAGGTGGGACCGGGGTTTTTGGGGGTACGAAGTGGGGATGGTGGAAAATCGAGGGTCCTGAGGAGCAGGCACTTTTGCTTATCAGCTTAAATGTAAATGCCATGCGAATGCAGTCGAGGGGCGGGTAGGCGAGGGGGCGTGGCAGAGGAGCAGCTGTTGCTGCATTGGGGATTTGCACATTTATTCTCGCATATTGCCCGCCTCCCATCCAATTGTCTTGCTTTTCGTTTTTTTTATTATCTGCCAAGTTGATTTTTCGAGTGTATTGAATGAAAGTCGATTTTCCCCTACTGGATTTGCGCGCGTTCGACAAGCGGCTTAAATACGTTCAGTTAATACTCATATCCCCTTGGCATATGTATGTGTAGTAGATCTGGGTGTCGGGGTTTTGGCTTAAGTGGGTGTGCGTGTTTTTGCTTTGATGTCTGCGTGTGCCATGGGTTAAGGTCGTGGCTTATTAGGGGTCCAAACCCTTCGTCGGAGTGCATCATCTCGGTGGGATTTACACGCAGACACTCGGCTCCCAAGGCGATCCACTATAATTGGGCATGAAAATCACGCATACGCCGGGTGGGTCAAGTGGAGAAAGAGAGACTGCTCTAGCAGTGGCTTTGACTAGCTGACGGGACTTTGATCTTGGCCGGAATCAGAGACAGCGACTCTTATTAAATGTTTCCCTTTCGAATTGTTTCGGTGGAAAAGCCCTTAGCCGACTGGCTTTGTAAACTTTCATTAGTTGCCTCGTTAATATTCCAATTGTTGACACACAAAGGAGGGCGGTGGGTGCTGGCTTAACCTGTGTATAAAGGAATTTAATTAATAAAGTCCCTCGTCCTTTTGCGTGTGCAGCGCGGCGGAAACTTAATTAAATGCGCAAGTGGCAAGTAGCAGTCGCAAGTAGCGAGGGGCAGAGTGGCAGATTGGAAAATGACAAGTGGAGATGCAGAAGTAGCAGCCGAACGCGAAACGCAGGTGCAGAGGCTGAAGGTAACACCTGTCCTGGCCACGTGGTAAAAAACTCAGCCTCTCACATGTCAAGACTTTTATTGACCCAAACTGCTAGTTTTATGGCTACTATTAATAGTGAAAAATGGTGCAACAAAAGCTGAAATAATGGCAGACGCTTAGACAAGACCAGATGGAAATGGGAAATGGGGGAGTGGCAAGTTCATGGGGCTGGTCATAAAACAACGAGTTGTGGTTCGGCGAATTTAACGCGTTTCCATGTTTACGAGTTAAGTTCGCCGGGTTTATAACCTGTAACTGGGGGCAAAGTTTATTAGGTGTATGCCAAGTGCATCAAATATGCAAAACCTCTAAAGTTGATCATCTTGGATGCTGGATGGATTATAGAGTTTGACGGAGATGTCTCTTGGCATAATCGCTGGTTATTGTTATTGAGCTGGTTGGTAATCAGTCTATGCTGATTTATATCATTAGAAATTTTAGTTGTTGTTCAAGGAAATTCTTAAAAGCCAGCTGTTTTGTTTAGATTTTCATGCTTTAAATAAATAACAAGGAAAACACAACCAAAAATACATACAAGAAATGAAAAATATTAAACTTTTCCATTAAGTAAGCAAATATAAATCTTATATCAACATGCAAATACTTTTGAATTGGATATTTTTTAATCAATGTTTTACCAACATAAAGTTTTGAAATTTTGTAAGGAACTTTATTTTTTCTTTTACTTCTTTTACTTACTTTAAATATTGTATATTATGCAAGAGTTTAAAAATCATTTAAAATTGGGATTCGATTATTTTATGTCAATCCAAATGCCTTGGGAAGAACAACCGATTAAAATGTCGTAGTCTCTGAAAGAGAGATTTTATAACGAAGAGTTGCAGGCAGGGTATTGAAAAGGGAATACTCTGTTCTGTTTTATCCATTTGAATTATTTTGAATTTTTATTATTTGAATTTCGTATAGTGATCTGTATTTAGTTATTTTTCTAATCAAATTACTTCAGAAATGTGTAGGTTAATGATCAAATTTTAAGAGAGAAATCTTAGCTTTCAAAAGCATTTAAAAGCATTGTTGTATTTTCTATAGTCGTTTCCAATCTTTTCGGTTCAAAAATATTCAAATTTCTGGACATGCAAGAGTCTTGAGAATGTGATATGCAATTAAACTATAAAATGCACTGGCACCCCGGACCGTTTTTACTGCACACGTTTGACAGACGACAAAAGGAGTTACGCCCATGCTCCGAATTCTAAATCAATTTCAGTCGAACGCCTTTCGGCTGCCATTGATTTATAGCCCACGTCCAAACGTCGTCTAAGTGGAAAAGCCGAACCGAAAAGAGGCGCAACTTTACCGAATTATATTTCAATTTGGCAGCGAAAATGAAACAGAAACAGAGCGATACACAAAAAGGGGGCGTGGCCGGGGAAAAGATGTTAAAAACTTTTTGACAATTGACTTAAAAAGTTTCCTCAAGCTGGCAGAAATTGACTGCCTTTTGTATACAAATAGGCTGAAATCATCCAACCCACACACACACTAACACACACACACATGGACAGGGGAAAGGAGAAAAGCCGGAGAAAATGGTGCCGCGGCCATGGAGCGGAAGTAAACACATAAAGCGGAAATGAAAATTCAATTATTTCGTTACGATTGTTCAACTTTTTGTTGTTTTCAGTGTGCCACTGTGTGTATGTGCGCTTTGCCCCCATTTCGTGTGGCAGGCGGAGGCCAAAAAAAGTTTAAAATTAAGTTAACGTGCAACTCGCCTCGTGGGTCAGCACATGCAACTTTCGCCCCGTTTTGGCCAAATTCAATTTTGGCTAGCCCCTTTTTTTTTGCCATATGCCTGGACCGAAGCGAAAAAGCCGTACATTTAAATGCGATTTTTAACAGTCTCTTCACGCACAATTAGCCTGTCGAACCGATTTTCGTGATCAACGATTCCTCTGCTTCAGTTTGGAATCGCAAATTCAGTTAGTACAGTACGATACGCGATGCTTAACAAGGAGTTTGTGTTTTATGGGCTTACGGCAGCAGTGTCCCTAGTGACAGTATTACTAACACGTAGCAGGTTGCAGCAGGATCTGGCGGACATGCGATGGTCCCTTACAGTCCACTCTCTGACCGTTCAAGATACCTTCGGAAAACCCGTGCAACTACAAAGTTTTGCCGGCCAAGTGTTGCTCATCGTAAATATTGCTTCCAGGTGAGGAGTTTTTATATATTTTATTTGAAATTCTCTTAATTAAGCCTCTTTCACTTAATTCAAATCTAAGGGATCCTAAGATTTAAAAAATAAATTGAACGCTTTTCATAAAAGCTACTTGTAAATTAAACCTGTATTGTATTTTTTAAAAGTATTAATATATTTATACGATCCTTTCAAATCAAGCAACAATTCTAGAAGTTATTAAGAAATTAAGTTTATCATGGTCTATGACGTCACATAAAATATTGTAACATTTATTATAGTAAGGGATGGTTTTTACTTTTGGAAGTAAGCCCTTAGTATAAATTGACTGCAATCGAATATAAATACACTTCATTGACCTGCAATTGATACTTTTTAAGAAATTATAATTTCATGATTTATTTTAATGCTGCTTTTTTCTTGCCTCCAGATGTGGACTCACTTCCTCACAATACGATGGCCTCCAAAAATTATTGGAGGAGTACGAGGATTATGGATTGAGTATCCTTAACTTTCCGTGCAACCAATTTGGTGGTCAGATGCCAGGAGATGTTGGATCACCTTCGCAAGGAAGGCGCCAATATAGGGCATCTCTTTGCCAAGATAGATGTTAAAGGACCTCAGGCAGATCCACTCTACAAACTCCTAACTCACCACCAGCCCGGTATCGAGTGGAATTTCGTCAAGTTTCTGGTGGATCGCCAGGGGAAAATCCACAAGAGATATGGCTCTGAGCTGGAACCAGTTGCCCTGGTCGATGACATAGAGCTTCTGCTCGCCAGATGAGTTCGAATAAATTGCGCAACATGCGCGTTTTGGCTCAATGGCACTCATAACTGTGACAACGTCACGCCTTATCATTGGGGATTACTGTTGCTGATGCTGGCTTCACATGCCAAGCGATTTCTTTCTGACGCTTTTACCTGGCCTCGCCTGTCACCTTGCCACAGACTTCTGTCAGTTGCAAATGGCCAAGAGTGGGCGGGCAGGGCGCGTGGAAGACGTGGGTTTGACCTTTGGTCTGCTGCACTTGTCACTTTGCTTTATCAAATTGCAGTTGCCGTTGCAGCTCGGCGCTCGTCGTGTCAAGCATCCGCCCAGTGTGACACAATCGAAAGGCGGTGTTGCATGTTGCAAGGAATGAGGTGAGGAATGAGCGCCAGTCGAATGCTATTTGACCTTGGGCGCCACTTTCTTTAACAGTGAAAAAGCTACTGCCAAATGCTTTGAAATAAAAATAGGAAAATCCCTAAATTATGCATAATGTTATTTTTATTAATGCCTCTCAATCGAACTTACCTGTATAATCTCTAGAGATTACCAAGCTGAAGGGAAATTACAGAGAATTACTATACAACATATTTAACCTTGACCTTCTTAAAAGTCCCTAAAAATAATCAATACCTTTGTTGTAATTTTTTTAAAACTTTAACAAGGATCCAGTTTGCAAGTCAGGTGAATCAAAACAAACTATGTTATTTGGGTATATGTATAAAAATAGTGAAAGATTAAAATAGAAGCGCAATTTGAATGAAATATTTTAACTCTATATATGCGTCCACAATAAATGAGAAACTTGAAGTTGAGTGACGCTGTCCAAACCGTAGAAAATCTTTCATTTGCTTGATTTGCAAATTGAGTTGAATATGCTTATATTATAATGTTACTGCACAAGTAAAAAACGAATGAGCTTTGCTAGCACTTCTTTCTAAAATTCCCTTGGAATTAATTTAATTATGACTCTGTTTACTTCGCATGATAGCGCTTTAACATACGTTAAAAAACTTCAAAAATTTCTGTGTTTGTCTTAAAATTTTCGAAATATGTGCAAATGCTGGAACGTCTGGCATGGAATGCAGCTGGCCAAGGCTTGAGCGGAATACGGCTAGCCAGGACAACTTCCTGGAATGCCCCAACGAGTTTTTCTAACCGCAACGGAGCCTGATGCCTCTGTTGCAACCTGCCTTTCGCTACTGTTTCTGTTTCTGTTTCTGATTCTGTTTTGGCTGCCACTCCTTGTTGGCATGCAAACAAGCTCTTTTCTGCCGGCTGCAATATAAAAACGTGCCTGCACATTTGCCACATGCTTACTCCCTTCCAGTGTGTGTACGTGTGTGGGTTTCGTCCTGCGAGTGTGTGTCTCTGCGGAAGCTCGGTTGTGTGTGTCTGTGTGTATGTGCTTGTAGCGTTGACAGTAACCAAAATTGCCACAATTTGCGGCTGTGTACAATTTGGCCACTCATCAATCTGTGCGCATGTTAACCAAAAAACCATTACAAACAAGTCAGACAATATCATGAAAAGAGTGGGAAGAACACTTACATTTCCGGCTACGCATATATATTTGCCCTTTATTCCATATTTAGTTTTTTTTCTTTCCTTTGCAGATGGAGCATCAGTTGGGTAATTTTGTTTGATGAGCGCATTACGTTTGCATTTTATATTCCGGCAGCCAGGTCGTATGCGTGATATCTCGCCAGGAGAGGCAAGAAGAAGCAAGTTATTACGCATACGCCATGGCGGACCCTCTTCCACCTAACCCCCAAAAGTAAACCAATTTAATTTTTTAACATAAACGTCGTCGTCGTCGTCAACGGCGGCGGCGTCTGTGGAAAAGCCTTAGTGAAAAAGTTGGTTTGTTAGTTGGTTTGGCATTTGTTCGGTTGCCTGAGTTGAAACTTAATTAACATTTGATTGATAAAGGTTGCACACACCGACACACACACACAAGCACAATTTCATGCGTATCGGTGGTTGTGTGCGTGAGATTGTTGTCTGCATGCAAATGAAAATTTTCAATGCCGGCGGCGCATTCTCCATTCTCCAGTGATTATTTATGCGTGTGTGTTTGAGTCTACCTGTATGCGTGTTCGAAATTTTAATTAGTATTATAAATTATTGCCAACGGTGTAGTAATTAAATGTGTGTGCGTATGAGTGAGTGAGGCAGGGGAGAAGATAAAGCTGAATTTTAGCCAATTAAACTTGTATGACAGAAACGCCCAACCCGGCTTACCCCGACATAACCCCGAAAAGACACAAATTATCCCCAGCAATCGGGGATAATTCATTGACTGATGCTGGCTAAATATTTCGTTTAAATTTGCATGCTAAAATCACCAAAAATTTGTTGGCATTTGGCATTGATTCTTTTTTGATTTGATTTGGACAACGTCAATTGAATTTGGCAATTTTTTTTTGCTTAGCTTTTGCTAAGCAGCTTAGCCCACCCCAAACCCCCCCATTTCCCTTTTTTCCACACCCTTTTGTCACATGTGTCGGTGCAATGGGAATTGCATTTTTCTTATCGCCTTTGCTAGCCATGCAAATGGCAAATCGCAAATGGCAGATGGCAGAGAGCGGGCAAAAAAGGACTCTGAGGACGAGGATGGAATGACACAAAGGCCACAAGAAAAGCAAAGTGGCAACCGAGCACTGAATTCAATTTGTGCACTAAAAGTGCTGCAAAATGAACAGGGTTTATCCAGCAAAAACCTGATCTGGATAAGCAATGTGAATTCGAAGCTCGATTTCAATCATCATTTGACTCACTTTATCATATTAAAAATTTATTGATATTCGCCCAAAAGACTCATAAAATACTTCAACACATTTGCCCCCCCAAAAAAAAAAGGAGAAAAAGTCCAACGAAAAACAAAAAAGCTTAACGTAGGAGAAGAAAATTCAATAAATTGCTTGGCTCGACATAAAATAATGCTGCATTATAGACTTTAGCCGCCCGCGGCAAAGTAACCGCCAAATGTTGCCCTGGAGAGCAACCAGCAAACACAACAATAATGACAACAGCAGCAAGAACAACGTTAAATCGTTGGGCATACGGCAACCTTGAATGTCCTATGTCGTCGGTGAAGATACATTAGCCAGGTGTTCCCGTTCGTACAGGAAGTATTTACTAAGAACCAATGTAAAACATGAAAATTTCTAGTTTCTCAGTTTCCGAAATAATATAAAAAATATGACTATTTTCTAAAAAAGGCGACAAAAACAAGTTAATTTCTGCATTTTGAAATTCAAGCAAAATGTATCTCCAATCTAATGAAACATATTAAAAACTTGATAGTTTATTATCTCATAAGTACATTTAAGTATATTTTAATTACAAAGTATAACATACCATAAGTTATTAATAAATACAGCAAATAAACAGCGAAAGTTAAGTTCCAGATCACTTTCAGTGTAAATTATTTTCTTTTAAATTTGGGCAACCCAAAACACTGAAAATTCTAAAGGTAAACATTTAAATTCAACAATTCTTAAAATTAAAAAGAAATGCAGACGAATTCAGAAACATTTGTTTACTTTCCAATATAAACAGAGAGCAATTCATCGTATTTGGTGGTCCCGCAAATGTTTAAATTTTAACGAACTCGAAAGAGTATGCCAGCATCGAGGGGTAGACCTGCGAATTTTGGCTTTATCTCTGCTACGGGTAATTCAAATTGTCGCCGACGAAACAATGACAGTGTCAGATGGAGAATGTCGTATCCCGAGACTCGAGACTGCGACTGCGACTGCCGACTGAGGGACCCCTTCACGAATCGATTGCTATTTATGTTTTATGAGACGTAAAATGATTGAGCCAAACGGAAGGCGGCAATCCAAAAAATGCCAAATAAAAACGGGCGATACAGGGAGGGGGGCGGTAGGCGATGGGTTGTGGATGGTGGGTGGTGGGTGGAAGTGGGCCCGAGACAGCTGCAAAAGTTTATCGCCAAAGCAGACCGCATTAAATGCGGGACACACGCACATTTACGCATCTCGACGTCAGATAAAGGCGTACGTTTATACCATAGTGTGCAATGCTTGGGGAAGGATGTCCGCTATCAGGAAAAGCGTTTGCCTGACGTTGATGGAGGGCAACGGAGGGTGGAGGACGGGGGGCGGGGTTGGCCGGGCTTGGGCCGGGAAAAGCGTGTAAATTACAGCCGCCAGTTTTTCTCGTTTTTCGGCTCCGACTCTTTGTGTATCTTGAAAAGTTTGGCGTGTGTTGTTGTCATGACGGCTATCATCTTAACTTGATGTGGTGTTAAGCATTGTTCGTGTTGTTGTTGCACTCGAAATGATGAACTGACAGATTTTCCCTTCTTTACGAGTGTGTGTGTGTGTGGGTGGGCAGAGGTCGTTCTTAAAGTTGCTTTAATGCCCGCGTCGATAATAATCCCCAAAATTGTAATTGAAAATTCCGTTCCACTAATTAATCTTAATTAGTCAGTTCTGCCTTGTCCACATTCATCGATCAAACAAATTCCCCGAACACAGAGTCACATATATAGTCGTACATATAGTGGGTTATTGTAACGCTAATGACTAAATAATTGATCGGAAAGTAATCCCGACTGAGCATAGAAGAAGAACCTTTAGCCGTAATGCAGCTTTTCAATTTGCTAGACCAAAAATGGCGCTAAGCGGCTTACGGTCGCATGTGTGTGTGTGCGGCTAAGTGAATAAAAATCTTTTTGCACAATTCATTAAACGCAAATTATGCCCCAGAGATGGTGCTGCATTGTGCCGGGCGGGCTGGCTCTTTTTCCTTTTGATGGTATTTGTTTGTGCGGCACACGCGAGGCATACGAATTTAATATGAACTCGCAGTGAAGGCAGAATCCGAAAAAAGGATTCACGCACACATGCAAAACGGCAGGCGGGGTAGGAAGATGGGAGAAGGAGAGACAATGAACCCGAAGGACGCGACTGAATCAAGGTAATAAAGCGAGCCTCTTTTTGCACCACTTGCCACTTGTTGTTGTGGCGCCTAACAAAACTTTGGCCCGCTGGCGCCGGAAACGGTCACGATATAGATAAATACAAGTTGACAGCACAATTTATTGTCACACTTAGCGCCCGCCCGGTAAATGCCATTGTTATGTAAAAGAAGAATCGCCAAATGGGCAACGGGGCGGATGGTTTTCGGCATTGCGTATACGCACCATCGGCAGCAATTTTGAAGCGCATTCGCATTGACGTCACGTTGCAGGCAGCTTTGTGTGAGTCTGTGTGATTGTGTCTGTATGGGTACGCATGTATATGTGTGAGTTGATTTGAACACCAGCAGGTGGCAACTGCCGCTGCAGATTGCACTTAAAAATATCTGACAATTATAACAATACTTAGAATTTATTATTTCTGTTGATTTATGACCAACTATAAAAATATAAGCATTTTATTTTGGGCCAAATTTTATTATTTTATTTTATTATATTTTCTTTCTTATGTAGTTTTAGCCTGTATTAAAGAATAGAAGACTATGTCTTGAAAAAAATACTGCTAAAAAAAAAAATTGTTATTTATATTTTGTGTTTGAATTCAAAACATTGTTAAATATTACTAAGCTTTAAAGCAATCTAATTTGAACCTCATTTTATTTACATCCTTTATTGATTAAAATCTTTTAATATGATGTGCAATGCTATGTTTTTATTTATTCATTAATTTTTGTAAGCAATTAAAGTTGTAGTAAAAATTAAAATTAAATTTTAAGGAAAAGAAGAGCTTTCTGCCACTCTATCAAAATAAAATATATAGAAACTTGTAAGGAAGATTTTAAATAAAGGTGCTTCTCGGCACCCCTGTCAAGAGTTATGTGACTCTTTTTCACTGTGTTTCCATACTCCTTGTGGCACTATTCCCGGCGTGCAGTGGGCACGTGCTGGGGATAAGCAGTGAGCCATCGCCTGAAGGACACGCATCCCTGCTCCGATTCCGTCTGTGGCCGGGTTGTGCTTGTGAGTGTGCGAATCGCTTTATTGCAGGATGGCCATGCAATATGTATAAGCTGATTGCTGGCAGTCATAGTCCAGGAACAAACAACCGACACAATTACGGCAGCAATCTTAAACAATCATTGACAGCCTCCTCGTGCGCAACTATTTTCCAACAGGTACGTATAGCACTCACCTATTCATCGCTCCGTTCTCCGTTGTCTTTGCATGTCAAAGGAGAGCACCCGGTTGGCTGCCCCAAAGATAAAAGCTCAAATTGAAATTCCAATCGGGTGCTCCACTCGGGCTATCGCCGTGCCATGGATTGCTTTTTATTCGCCTTTTGTTGCCCCAGTCGTTGTTCTTGTTTATTGAAACAACGGAGCAACAATAAATTTTGTAGCGCATACTTCAAATGTCAAATGCGGCTGCGATAAAAATTTCTTTATTGTACAGCCCCATACGATAACGAACACACACACACACACACACATGAAGATGGCCAAGAGCTGCGGCCCAATGCATTCCCTTTTTGGCCAGCTCGGACTCCTCGAACTGTTTGGCTTTGACAGTTTTTGCAATTTATATTTATTTCGAGGGCTGCACAAACCATCGGATACGCATAAGTAAACCGACCCAGCCCCCATCGTCCGACCCTGCATAAATTAAGATAATCGCGTTTAGTTTGCTCTGAATTCAGCTTCGACTAGAACTTCGACTTTGGGTTCGGCTGTCAGATACTTGGCTGCATAATTTATGGCCACGTGAAGTGGCGAAACCTTTCAACCGGCCGGGACTTTAATTTTGTGTAATTGAACTCCAGCTGCGGTATTCCCATAATCAATGTCGACAACTTCAATGGGCTGATGGCGAGTTGTTCGCTTAATGAGTTAATGCCCAGCCGCCCCGTTGACAAGTTGAGTGGTACAGCTGCACTGTGAAAAATATATTACTAGAAATTAGGTCCTGAATGTGGATCGCAGTGAATGAATAAACCATGTCTAAAATGTATCTTCTGTTCTTTATTTAATCAGCTATTTTTAAACAATATTTTTTTTACTTTTCAAAATGAAAAAAATGTCTAAATCAAGTCTTGTTTCAGCTTTCAGTTTTATAACACAACCACAAGAGCAATTTTTTAAATGACACCAGCTTAAAGGAAATAAAGAAATAATAATATTTTAAATTCTTTTATAGCCTAATAAGATATAAGATTTAGTCATAATGCTAGCAAAAGATTATGCCATAATCAGCCTCCTGTTTCCAAGTGTACTCCTAATCTGCGCGAGTAGTTGTCAGGAAATGAAATCTGGCATCCATTAAAGCCCGATGGAACTGAACTATCCACTCGGCCATTGAATTGCAGTTTCGAACTGAAACTTCTTGGCACTATTCGAGGCAGCGGGGACTATTTGCATAAGTATGTCGATTCGAGTTGGTCGAGTTCATTGCAGCACGTGCTGCCCATGCTTAAGAACACATTGTGGTCTCTAGCCTTTGACCTTTGCCAAACAAGCCCGTCCTCGGAGCGGTCTGGTTATTATTTTAATGGTCATTTGAAGTGGCTGCTGTTGTTGCTGTTGGCAATGACCAGGCCATGATTTTAATGCCAATTTAATATAATTTTTATGCTCGGCCCTTGGTTAGGCCAGGCTCTAAATACGTGCCGAACGAAACCGAATCGAATCGCATCGAAATTGCCGCAATGATTTGACGTATTTACTTGTGAGTCCAGAGAACATGGTAGCATATCATGATGGGGATATTAAACGGAAATCGATCGATGCTATTCTGCCAACGGGGCGTGGGGAAAAGCCAGACTGACACTTGGTCAGCTTAGATTTTATTTGCTTCTTTTCACATTCACCGCCAGATGGAATTTGAGGTTTCAGGCTTCACAATTTATGCAAGAAATTCATTTTCCGCAGCCCAGCAGCTCAGGCATAATAATTAAAGCCAAACATAAGTTGCCTCTTTTCGGCGTTTGGCCAAACCTAATTAAACGCAGCTAAAAAACAAAAACGTACTGTTGACTCGCTCAAGAAGGCGAGTGCAATTTGACAAACTTTTCAAAAACTTTTCGAGTGGCAACTGGTGGGGGATACAACATGTGAAAAAAACATTTTTTAATTAAAATTTACTCACATAAGGGAGAGGCCGCTGATGAGGCTGCCACTCGTAGTTAGTTTTCACTGTAATTAGCCAAGTTGTTACTCGAATTTAGCCACAGTTCTCATCCCTCCAATTAACATTCGCCTTATTGTAGAGTAAAACTTCTTCCGGATGGGGATTTTATTTTTTAGGGTGATTCATTTAGCAGCCATTTTTCATCAGACCAATCAATCAGTTTTAAGAAGAGACCTTTTAGTAAAAGTGAGCGATTTTTAAAAAAATTATAAAAATGTATATATAAGAAGCTTGTTTTAAAATAGTAATTCAGAATTATTAAAAGTTAAAGTCTTGAATATTACTGAATATTATTGCACTGACCTTTTCGCTTAAAATCATTTTGGTTAATTAAATAAAAGGAACCAAGACTACTCCCAATTTATGGCAAATATTTTCTCAGTTATTTTTTTATCACATATATTTACTAGAAATCATTTGAAGTTTATTGGTTAAATACTTAGGTAAAATTCTCAACGCATAATTAATAATAATATATTTTTCAGATAACATCATAATTATAAATTGTATTAATAATACATTTCTTTATATGGGGTTTTAGTGCAAAGCAGGTTTAAAGAACATTAAAAAAGTAAATGAAAACTGTTCCGTTTAGGCAATCTGAACATTAAGAGCTTTGACTTCGTATGGAGGTGGGTTCTGATCCACTGGTACCGCAGGCTGTGGTACTTCATTTTTATTTTTAATTTCCTCGGGATTTGAGGTGAATGCTTTAACCTCCTCGTTATAGATTCTATAGGTCAGCACATCCATAACTGTAAGCAGAACTAAAATGTTTTGTTTAATAAATAGATTGGAAAAAGACATTTAATTGTACTCACTGATATACAAATACCGAAGAAAACTTGTGTGGTAAGTATCTTGAATTTCAATGATTTGTGATCCCATGAAAACTAACGTTGCCAATAGCCAAAATAGAATAATGTTAGCCCTGTGCTTTTTTGCGGCCATTAATTCTCCAAAAAGTAGAACTCCAGATGCGACAATAATCAGAGCTATACCTAAGCTTCCCATCGATGTCCTTGCTGCAGAACAATTAGTAATTAGTAATGTGTATCAGATTAGCAAAAAGTGTAATTTGTACCGTGTGGAAATATATAAAGCGGATTAGATGCCAACAAGATGTTGGCCAGGCCAAAGGACAGTAACAGTGCTTTCCCGTTAAGAAACATTTCGGTTCGACAGATCGATCTCAACTGAACCACTAAAAGGCCCTTCTCTTTGTTCAAATTTCTTGTTTAAAAATAAACCCACACAAATTTTGCGTAAACAGAGAGCACTGACTCTTGACTCGAAACACTTCTCACAAAGGTTGATTTCTTTTCTCAACTCATTTGACACCAAACGCAAAAGGACGAAACCTTATAAAAAGTTCATAAAACAAAATGAATGCATAACTAATTCGACAACACACGCTCGCTCACACATTGTGCATTCATGTTTATTTGATGGATGAACTTTTCGACACTTTGTGCATTAGAAAGTTTTACTAGTTTGGACTTTAGTGGCAATTATATTTACATTCAACCAAGTCTGGCTCTAAGCACTTAAGTTTTTCGGCTTTGACGCCGGGCTTAAACAGGTGCCGGTTGCAAAGATTCCTGGGCTAAAAACTTTTCCAACTTGGAGTTTTTAATTAGAATTTGTTTCCACCACCAGAACTCTTACATTGCCGAAAAACTCATACCCACGCGGCAATACATCACCAGTAATAATAAATAAAATTCTTTTTGAGAATTCCTTAAAAAAAATGTAGGGGATAATTTATGAATATTTTGTAATTAACAGCAAGAAATTTATCATAAATTTTCATATAATTGCATTTTTATGGCATCAAGTTTTGGCTTCGTTCCTCAGAGCCATTAAAAATAAACGTGACGGGTGAGTTGAAAAAATTTGAAGTCCGTATTTTGTATGTTTTTAGCTTTTAAAGCATCGGTTTTCCACCTTTGATAGAGTATTTGAATTTCGTTGATATCGCCCACACTTACATTTGTTTGCTCTAACATTCGTTTCAGCTATTCAATTGCTTACCATTTATTGGGTATATATATTTTATCAATATAAGCCAATAATCCCTCTTAAAGATGAATGCATTTATATTGAAATATTAATCAAAGAAGCTTATTTATGTACTTACAATTTATTTTTATTTTTACAAGGAGTCAGCTCTTCTCTAAAAATTTAATACTCGGTAGCTCGCCATCAATATTGGCCTTAATTAGTTGTTTATTTAATTTCAAGAGGTATTGCATCAACTGTGACTCTCAAAGATTGCCTTTGTTTTTGTTTACACTTTGAAGAGGGAATATATTACCTCTGTTTGTAGATTATTTATTGCTCTCTCTCTGTTTCTCGGAGGCTTGATTGTGTATTAATTTGGCAGTTTATTAAGCGTGAATATAAAAATTTCGCTGAACTTTGACCATTAGGCGAGATCTTCGCAGTGTAAATGATTCACTGGGTCACAGTTGAGGCCACGCCCACATTTGAAGGATACTGATTTTTTCAGCAAACTTGGCCCTGTGAAAATCTCAAGCAGAGTGTGGCGAAATGTTGCTCATTTATTTCATTTAAATGCGCATTTAAATCTATTTAAAACTCCACATGAGCCAGTCACAAAGCCACGTCGCACAGAGGGAAACGAAATAAAGGGCAAATAAAAGGCAACGGGGCAGGACAACGCCTGACATGAGCTGAGGGATTCTCCGGCACCCACACCATGCCCCATCTTTCCCACTCAGCATGATTTAACGATAATGAAGGTATTTACGAGTTCAGCCTTAGTCCGGGACTTGGGCCCCAGCTTTTTTTTCTTTTTTGCAGGGGCAAAAGCAAAACTCATCATAATCCAGCGGCAGCAAAAGGTTATCCAAAATACACAGCGGCACATTTGGGGACTTGTATCTACGTGTGGCCCGCCACTTGTGAGATGTTCTTGCCAAACTTTTTTGTTGACGCCGTTGATAAGGACAACAACTACTCAAAGCTGCCAGCTGGGCCAGAATCCCAACCCGAAAACGCTGTATATATTTATGGATTTTGGCGAAGGTGGCTGCCAAGCTCCCAGACACACATTGCTTGCCAATAAAACTCAATTTGCCATAAAATTGTTTCACAGTCAACATAATTACAGCAGCTAAAGACGAGCATAAATTTGATTTTCCAATTTACGATTAGGCAGAACCTCATTTTCAGTGCCATTTAATATGGCCCGGCGTTGAATACAAAATGTACACAAAAATATTAATATATTAGCGAAGGAAATTTAATTTCATTTCTAGGGCAAACACCTTTCGTTTATCGCGTTTTCATCCTCCCTTCTTTCCACTCACTTACATACATTTTTTATTACACTGGCTGCGTTCAACGCAGATCCACTTGCCACTGCGCGGATTTTATTGTCCTGCTCAAGGCTGAAACTGGTACCTGCGAAGTGGGTAAGGTGGCGCTTGGCTCAGTGCTAGTTGGTGGGAACAAAAGCAACTTAACCTGGCCAAAATCGCCTTACGCTGTGGTCGACCTTCGCTGCTACTTTCACTCCCACTTTCACTTGGTGAAAAGATTTCGAGTTTGATATTCCTAGTTCAATTTCCATTTTATTGAATAAGTATCAATAGATATTTTGAATATATTTATATTCTTAAATTGTAAATGACACAGATTATGTGTTAACAAATAGGTTTTGTGCATTGCATTTTATTTATTGGTTAGAGTTTAAAATTATAAGTACATAATCGCAGCATAAGATATAAAATATCTTAAGTTTTAATCATTCATTCATTTTATATTTTTTAGCAGCTGACTACAAAAAAATTAAGGCCTTGTTGCTGGAAAACCTCAATAGTTTAATTCCCATCAATATTTTTTTAATAAGAGAAGAGATAAGTTCACTCGTTGATATTTCTCGCCGTGCTGTTCTCAGTGCCTCTGAATGAAATTCGTCACAAAATTTGTCGCAGGTAAGAACCTTTGAATTACGAAAAAAATCAAGGGACTTTGCCGTGAGGGGCCGAGTTAATTGCAAGTCCTTGGGATGCATTCGTAATCGAAGTTTTGTTTTTCAGTTAGGTAAAGTGAAAGTGGGTGAGGAAGGCGGTGCTGCCAAATGAAATGGAAGTGTTAGCCTTCAAACAACAAACGACACGGCAAAGACAATGGCTCACTTACGGCTCTTAGCCCGCTGGCTCTTGGCCAAAATGCATTTGGGCAAGGAAATCCCCTGCTGATTGCCGCTGCTTTGTGGTGGATTTCCCAGCTCGCTGGCATTATCCGAGTAATCGCAATCACCAGAAAGATGCCTTGATGCAATGGCGGCAACGGCAGCATACGTTGCGTATACGCAACGGCATGCCTTGGAAATGCCTGAAAGGCATTTCATTTTCGCCCCGTTTCTGTTGCACATTTTCAATTATAATTATTAACGGATCGCTGTTTGACTTTGGCCTGCGTCTGGGGAATTATTTTCATTTGCATTGTGTTTTTCTCCGTTTTTTTTTTTTTCGTTGTACGGCTCTTTGGCGAAATCACCTGAGTAATGCACTTGATGCTTGCGCAATTTCCCTCTTGCATTGTTATTGTCCTTGCGCGCTCTGCATTATTTTTTCTACTCCCACCGCCGATTGTTGTTGTTGTTCTGGTTTAAAGTGGTTGTTGTTGCCGGGGCTGGGCACTTGTAGTTGCGATTGCTGCTCTTCCCCCATTTCGCCAAGGGCAACTTTTAACATTTAATGATGCTGCTTTGTGTTTTAATACGCTTTGCCAGCTTGGCATGCTTATGCCACCGCCCACCAAAGCCTACCTGCCCCTTTTTTTTATTCTCCCATGTTACCGCATCCCTGCCGCTGTTCTTTTAAGTAGACAAGCAATGTCCTCCGTCCCGGCTCCTCGTCCTTTCAACATCTTCTATTACTTGTCCTGCCTTTTGCGCTTTAAGTTGTCTGCTCAGTTCCAATTTTTCCAGCCGCCTGCCAAGGTGTTTGAAGCAATTTGCGTCGCCCGTCTCGGGTTGCACTTGTCCGTCCGGCTCCTCTGCTGTTCGGCTCTTGGCTCCTCGGCTCGCTGGTCGTCCTGGCCACGTCCTTGACAGCAACTCTTCGGCCTGCCCACCGCTCCACCCACCGCCTCTCGTAGCGTGCGGTGTGCAGATTGTGCCAATTTCACCTGTTGTCTGTGGGGCGCACCGGGCATAAGCACACTGAAATTAAATTCTATTATTGGTGGGTCTTCGATCCGACCTCAAGAAATAACTTAAATATTTTTATGCCATCTACACCTAGACCAAGAAGGGTTGAACTGTAGACCCTGTCGACGCTTGCAGGAATAAAATTCACGATGCCATACTTTTGTGTCACCATGTCGAAAAGATACCGAGTAATATTCATAGATTTTTGTAATTTAATATTAAGGTGAGCACCTTTGATCTCCACAATCTGAAAAAGTGTTTCCACAGCTCGGTAATCTGAGTCCCCAAGTAGTATTTGATTCGAAGTATAATTACTCGTACAACGTCTTCTAAATTATTTGACACCAATTCTATTGAAAATAGATAACACAAATTTAACAACATTTTATTTTAAATTAAATGGAAAATATTAAGGAGGCAAAAAAATTTATTAAATTGTAAAGTAAAATAAAATTATGATTGAAATGTATATATATATATATATATGATCGGTGCTAGTTAGTCAAAATCAAACTAAAAAAAGGTGTTCATTTTTCTCGGTGTAAATTGCACTTTTTCGAGCTCACGATTCCCGGCCCTGAGCTCAAATTTCCAGGAACTCAGCACAATGGGTTTGTCTATATCCATTTCCCAGCTTCAGCCAATCTTTATCATTCGAAAGAAAACGGAAATTAATGAAGGTCTAAAAACTATTTTATATTATAAATATATATTTGATCGCAAGTCTTGTTTTTTTCCGTGCATTCCCCCAGAAGTTGCTAAAGCGCAAAGTTCTGTGGTGTAGTAGACAGCACCGGAGGTACGGACCATCCAGTGTATAGAGGATTCGGAGTCGTGCACTTCTAGCGTTGCTCGGTACTAAACTCGTCGGATGGGGTGGGGTTCTTTCCTCGTCCTCTATATGATGTACACTGTCCCACAAATAAAGAAAGTTTTAAGTGCACTAAGCGGTACTCTAACAGGTTCCAAACAAATCAAGGATGTGAACGGAC